TTTGGGTGCTAAAGGATATCCTACTAAATTTTAATTTAACGAAAAATGAAAATATTTATTAATATGTCGAGATTTTTTTTAAGTGAACGAAGACGTTTGCGAGATAAAATGTTTGTCATTTTTTGATTATTAATTTCTTAAAAATAAAGTTTCACTGCATTTTAAACATATTTCAAGTAATTTTGTTACGAATAGATTATAGATCTTATAATTAAAATCTCATTCAGAAAGTTTACTTTTAATTAATGGACAGAGCCCTAATTAATGGATAGAGATAAATATCAAACAATGACAATGAAAATCATAAGTGTACGAACACTTTCGGGACCCACTGTATATATCAAAAATTGTACAACTTATGTGTAGATTCATTTTTTATACAGTCAAAAGTCGTTAATCCGGACTCGTCGGGACTTCGGCGATTCCGGATTATAGATCATCAATTTAAATCTACTAAGATCGCATGTAGAAATTATAAAATTAAAAATATGAAACCGTAACTTATGAAATAAAGAGCAATTATGATCTAAAGGGTATCAAAATTTACAAAAAAAAAAAAAAAAAAAAGCTTAATATTTATTTGTTTACTTTATTAAACATTTCTTTCAATGTAAGTTGTTTAAGTTGCTTCGTTTTATGTGATAATACTTTCTCTTTAATTCTATAAACAGACATAATTTCTTGTTCAGTTACAAAGTTCCGCTGTTCAAGTCCTATAATTGCTGTGTCGAAAATACCGACTAATTTGTCAATCGAAATTTTTTTGTTTTCAATAACCTCTATGTCACTTTCTTCACTATCGGAAGCGAATTATAATGACGAGGAATTTGATTTAAATCATATCAAAGACGGAGTACATCGAGATGAAATACTACATTTAGTAAGGAATTATAAGCCAAATTAAATAAAAACATCTGCCCTGAAGATAAGGATAGTGCTGACAGATCAACTTCCAATTCATTGCGCGCCGCAGCGTGAAATTGATAAACAGATTTCGGATTTCAAAACATACTTTCGCTTTGTAGATCTTTTACATATTAGTAACTATATATCGGAAATTCTATTTGACACAATCGAAAGTTCAAGCTTACTTTTATAAAATTGCTCTAACAGTCTGCAAAAAATAATAAGCCGGATCCAATTCAAAGATTAAGGAACAACGCAATCTGCAACATTAACTGAATTAAATAATTTTAGCTTAGCTTATACCGTCCGTTATACGTTAAACGCGCATGCATAAACGTATTATGCGCATGCGCACACGCATATTCACTGCCGTAAAGGTCTTATGCACATGTGTCAATGCGACGCATGTGTTTGTAGCTTTAAGGTGCGGATTATAGATCATTCCGGATTATGGGTGTCCGAATTAACGAATTTTGACTGTATAAGGTAAACAAATGGGCCGTTTTGAATTAGGAAAAGAAGGAAGAAAAATGAAACAGAATATACAGTGAAAAATTATTACAATTTTAATTGTTAAAAAAATAAAATAATAGTAAATATAAGTTACACATTTTATAATAGAATATATAGAATACACAATTAGAAGAATAAGCAAACATAAATAATTATTTTATTTAAATTACATAAAGTACCTTATTATATATAAACCACAAATATATACTTCAAAAAGTTATAAATACATAAACGTGCTGAATATTAGCTAATATATGTAAATATTTAATTTTATCATTGATTTCATCATAGTTTTTACATGATTCACGATTACCAAGTGTAGGTTTTCATATTTTCTTTCTTTCTTTCTTTTTTTTTTTTTACTCCAGTACGCCATGTATTTACAGTAGCTAATAATAAACGTTGACAGGCTAAATCTTTTTTGAATCTGTCAAATAAAAACCACATACTGGGATGGATACAATTAAATAATGAATTTAGTACCTGATGAAAGCTTTCGTAACAATTTTTGCTTTTAGAAGATTTCTCGAAGGCTGCATCATAATGATTCCACACTTCGATTGGAAACTGTGGTCTTCTAGAACTTTTTTGGCTCCAAACGTAAATAACTACATTCAAACACCAATTTCTAGAGATAGATATCAAAAGTATGCAAAAATAGAGTACAAAAATTAACTGTTGACAGTTACAGGAATAAAAATGTCGTACAGGGGCAGTAGTATAAAATATTATAGTACATGCAAAATTTTACTTTTCACATTTCATTCTTTTATATAGCGTCCCTGAAAAGGTTTATGCGAGCACTTGGCCAATAATTTTTTCAAATGATCAAATAATTTTTCTTTGAACAATTCAAGTATATGTACGATGTTCAAGATTGATTAATGTAAGGATATTTCTACGTATTTTATTTATAAGTGGGCTTGTTTCCATGTGAGCATATATACATGTGACCTTTTTTCCATGTAAAGATATTTCTAAGTAAGCATTTTTCCATGTGAGCTTTTTTCTATGTGGGCATATTTCTGTGTGGGCTTTTTTCCTGTGGGTTTCCCCCCCCAGAACCATTTAGAAGATACAGGCAGTTTCCTAAAGAGGAAATCAATCTAAATTCTATCTCTATTTCTAATGGATAGTAACTATCCATTAGAAATAGAGATAGAAAATCCACATGCTGATTAGAAAGCAGCAATTACCCCAAACTCCCAATTAACAATCATGCACTCTAAGCAAAAAGTGGCTAAATCTCAATTTATAGCTCCATATATACTTCTGTCAAGCTAATGCAGGAAATTTACAGTTTTAGATTTTAGTGTAGAGTGGTATTTGGCAGGGCACATTCTTAATTTGGCTAAAGATATCTAATTGATTATCTGAAAGTGGTATGTCCAGAAGATTGATATTTATGAACAAGTTATAATAAAGTCTAATGACATTTGTGTTCCTACTAACATTAAAATTTCTCTGGCTTTTTTCAACAAAATAAAAAATTTCCATCAGCAAACAAGAACTACTTAGCAAATTAAGTATCAGTAATTGCATAATTTAGTGCTTTACTTATTATCCCATCAACAGGACACTTGCCAAGCAGTGTGATTTAAGGCTAATTATAAATAAGCGTAGAAACACTCATAATAACACATCTGCTTTTGTTAGATGCAACCCTGACTGATTCTCAATAAGACACATTTTGTTTTTATAAACAAGAATATAAATGAACTGTTAATGGTGTACTTTTTTGCTTGCATTTGGAGGGCAGAGGATTAAAAATTTGGGATCTGCCTTCTATAGAACAGCAAACAGTAGATTATTTTCAAAGTCATGGAATCTTAGCATCAAATGTCATGAATAAATGGTATTTTCTTAATTATAATTCCAAAACAATCAATCCTCTCACTTTGTACTTTGAATCCTTTTCTTCCAATATACATCCAGCCTGAGATCAGATACATTAGAAATTAGCAGAAATTTTCATATGCAATGAACTGGAAAGCCATCCTTCTATACAGAGGTTTACTTCTATAACCCTTAGAGAGTTAACAGAAACAATATGGTCAGTTAAATTATGGACAACAAAACAGTGACAGACTCAATTAGTTGCAGGTAGTTTGTACTCATAGTATTCCAAACAGAGCTTCCAGTAAAATCAGTGGGCTTAACAAAATAATAGAAAATCATGAAAGCCTTGTAAGGCTTGTTAAGCTAACCAATTATTATGATTTTGATCTTTTAACTTCTTTCTGTACTCCTCATCAGAACAAAAATTAGCTTCTAGTGTATTTAAGCTGAAAGTTTGGGATCTTGTGAGAAGGAGTTCCCGGCACTCATGCAGTACTATTAGAATTCTGAAAGCTCTAGCTAAATGTAGAGAGCTCTAGCTCTAGCTAGCTCTTGGCTTTGCATGATGTTGCAGCCAATACTTAAAATTTAATGCATCAGTAATCATTTCAACCAAGTTATATACCTTAGTTATTTAACTGTATAGTCTTATACTACTGAATCAACATTTAAATTTATGTGACTGTTATTATTTAATTTGCATCACCACAAGTCATAGTTATCTGTAGCACTAGCCGTGAAGGTTTGTTAAAAGTTCAATTTAATAAAAAGGTTGTTTGCAGCAACTTTTTAAAGTCTTTGCCATGCTATTTTAGACATAGTGATAACTCACTACCTGTCTAGTAAGGTTATAGAATTAAAGTTCCAGTATCAGACCAAGTATAAGCTTATAGCCATTTTATGAAGTGAGACAAATACTGATTGTTTATGTAATAAAGAAGAGCCAGTTCCATCAGAATAGCTTCACCAAATTTCATGGTTGATGGATAATATGTATCTATCAATAATTTTACATGTTTAATTACAAAGTCTAATGAACTGTTTTAAAACACCCAGTTTATTTCATTCCAATGGAACTTAATAAATAAAACTAGAAGCATATAAATAGGTACTTTCACAGCACCTTGAATAGAAAATATATATATAAAAAAAAAGTTCATAACGTCTCTGATGAAAATGTTCATATATGAACTTTTTAGAATACTTTTGGAAATTATTTAGCCAATGCTGTACCCCTAGTCTTAAAATTCAGACAGAAGAGAACATGCTAGTCTATAAATTAGAGAAAAAAAAAAAAAAAAAAAAAAAAGGAGAGCAATCTTAGTTTGGCATAGGTGTTTTCAGAGCCTCCCCTCCTACAGAAAACAAAATCAATGCAAAATTAAGTCTGAGCTTTTATTTAATTGTAAATAGTTAACTAAAATCGAAACCAAGAGGTTTGGCATCTTAATCCCTTACTTGGCAATATTTCTCTGTCACCTGCCAATTTTTATAATCTATTTTGACCTTATTTGGTGAATTTATTTCAGTTAAAAAAAAAAAAAAAAATTATTCTATAGTACTTTTATCATATTAACAATTATTGATCACAATAAGAGATGTATTTTCCTTGTTTTCGTATACAAACACTGCGATCACATCAAGCGACGTCTATTGTATAAACATTTCTTTCAAAGCAATACAAATAACATAACTAATGCTACTTTTATTTTAACAATTATGACAATATCAAATTAACTTACTCTGAATAAAGCGCAGTCAGCTTTCTGAAAATCTGGAGGAGCAGGAATAAAGAAATAAGGCAAGAATCCATGAACATGGCACAAAACACTGTTTCCTGTCATAGTAACACCAAACATCCTTACAATTGGAACAGGTCCAACATTACAACCTGGCATACCTGGCACAGGTTGCCCTACATAATAATCAAGATCCAGTTGCTGGAATATAACAGGATCTTCACTTGGATTTAAAGCAGGAGGTTGGGGTCGCGTCCACTTCACGTTGGATGTTTCTGATTCAATATCTTCAGCTATAAAAAGTAAAAAAGTATTTTATAACAACACATGCCAAAGAAAATGAAGTATTTTCTGATTATCCCCACCCCTCACCAAAAAGTTATGAGCATGTTGGTGACTCTGGAAAGAAATGCATATTTTGATATCCTTACATACATTTTAACAATACAATTCCTGTGACCCACTTTTACGTTCTTCCTTTTGCATAGCAGACATGTGCACTTCTGAGATAATTAATTACATCAATAGTTGCATTTAGGGATAATTCCATTTTTTTTTATACATAATTTTCCTGCTATAATGGCCAAATGCGGTAAGTTGGTATAAGGCGGAAGTGTTCACTAGACTATCAGATTAGGAATGCTAAATGCAGATGATGCTTAGTGATCTACCTTTTTGCCAAAGCCAAACAAACAATTCTTTTGTCTCCTTTGATCGCCTTTTTGCCATTTACAAGAGCAGTCTATTGAAATTCAGAATCATAGCTAAATTTTGTGTTTAAAGTGTGTTTTAATTTTTTAATTCAGTGAATTCCTAACAGTTATTCTTATTTAAGCACTGAAAAATTCTTCGAAAAAATGTATGGAAAAGGTAGAAAACAACCCATTCAACAGAATGTAAAGTGGTCCATAAAGAGCTAGAGTTTTTTGTGAAAGGTCAGCATCTGAAAAGCTATGTATCACTCCTCAGCAGGAACAGAAGAAAACACTGCTGCAATTGGTTATCTATGAGAAAAATTATATGAATAAAGTAAGGAGGTAATATTCCTCCTATCTTGCCTACCACCTGAAAATGAAGGAAATCTATTAAAAACTGGAATGTGCTTAATGAAAAACCTAATAAGTGTTGGCAGTGGCGGTAAAGGCAAAGCATATTTTGTTTCCCTTCAATAAAGCTAAGACTAATCTAAATAAAATTCATGCTTTATTCCGTAAATTAAAATAAAAGATACTAATACTGTAGCCTTTACATTTCAAACCATTTCAGCGAAAGAAAGCTAGCATAATGCTAACTCATAATACCAAAACATTCGTCGATATATATACTTTCTCATTTAGGTTTGCATATAAATATGCGTTCTTTACATCGAACTGACAATTAGTCCATTCATATAAATATACCAGGATAGTGAAAAATATTCTTATGATTGAAAAATTTACTACAGGATTGTAAAACGTCATCAAAATCTTCACCTCTTTTCTGCCTGAATCTCTGTGCTACTAAACGTGCTTTGTATCTAACCACTTGATTCTTTTCATTTTTTTTTAGCGTATAGATCCATTTGTTTTCTATCATAGTTTTATTTTCTGGCTTTTCGACCAATTCCCAAACCTTTCTTTTCTTTATTGCGTCAATTTTTTCTTTCATTGCTATCCCATCCTTTGGTATTTACTGATTTTAGTGCTTCTTTAAAATTTTGTGGGATAACAATTTCTACAGAATTTGCCTCTTCAGACATGAAGCTAGTCTCCTGTTCTACAAAATGAACTTTCCCCGAGTATTCGTTTTTTCCACTAAAATCAAACTTATCTTTTTCAAATTTAATATTTCTTGCCGCACAATACATTTCAATATCATTATAGGATCTAAAATGGGTATCTGTTCCCTCTACATAATAATATATGTCTGTACGCATTCCGTCTGGCCTTTTAACTGCTTTTCTTTGCCAGTTTAGGTCTGATACTTCTTTTGGAGTAGATTTGTCATCTGACAACTTTATTTCTTCTCTAGAAGTTTCCTGTTCTTCATCTGATTTTGCTAATAGCTCAGATTGCTCTAGTCTTTTAAACTTAATTTTTTATTTTTGTTCCAGGATGCCATTTGCAGCATTCAGTTTTTCATCGAACTTCACATTACAGGTTTCTATTAATCTGCATTCTGCTGGTAGCCATATCCTATAACCCCTAGTTAGCATATCCTACCATGATTCCTTCTTTGCACCTCATTTGTAATTTATTTCTAATCTGTTTTGGCACGCCAACATAGGCTTTAAAACCAAATATTTTAAAATAAACAACACTGGGTTTTCTATTTAGGAACACTTCATAAGGGGTTCGGTTGCTTTTATGACATACTCTGTACCACGTATGTACGAAACAGCCAAGAGCTTCTGCCCACCATTCTTTTCCCATTTTATCGTCATTAAGCATAGCTTTAACTGCGTCTAATGCCATTCAGTTAAAACGTTCACACACACCATTCTCTTCTGGAATGTACGCATTTGTGCATTCAACACTAATTCCATTTTCGGCTAAGTACCCTTCGAATTGCCTGTTACAGAAATCCCCACCGTTATCGGTGCGTATACTTATTAATTTTCTATTCGTCAGTCTTTTCATTTGCCTATGATAATTCTTAAAGTTGTAGAACAATTCATTTTTTTTTCATACAATACACTGTTCCTAATCTACTATAGTCATCCATAACAGTGAGGAAATATTTTCTCCCACCCTTAGATGGAACTGGGAGTGGGCTACAAACGTCTAAATAAACCAACTGCAAAGGTTTATCCGATCTCTTCGGAACAGTTTTAAAAGTTATTCTACTAGATTTAACAATAATACACGGTTCACACCTCTCCATTGGTTTTCCAATTTCTAGTAACCCTTTCATGCTTTGATTCTTACTAGTATTCTTAATATAATCAAAATTTACGTCGCAAAATCTCTGATGCCATAGCGTCACATCGTCTACTTTATTTAACTTTCCAATTTCTGTACCGTAACCAGCTTGTTTTTTATCTGTTGCATATCTAAATGGTTTTACGTGATAAAGTCCGTCATATCGTCTAGCGTAGCATAATCTATCCCAATTATTAAAGTATATCCACAACTTCCCTTTTGAAATCACAAAATGAGCACCTGCCTTTTCTAACCTTGCTCCCTGATAGTAAATTTCTTCTTAGATTTGGATTATGTAACACATTATCTAACTCAATCCAATTTATTCGATTGCCTACTTTTACTGCAAATTTGACGGTACCCTTTCCTAGTACTTTACTTTCACAATTTCCTACAGCTAAAGACATACGTATATCGTTTTATTTCTTCAAAATTTGTCATTAAATTTCTATTATTACAGAAATGAATTGTAGCTGCAGTATCTACAACCCAATTAAATTTATCATCATTACCTCTTTTATCTGTAGTTGTTACATAATTTTCTACTAACATTAATTCTTTATCTTTAAACTGTCCATTTTTATCATCTATTTTAAACTTCTGATTTTTACTTACATTTTCTTTACATTGGGCGATTAAGTGTCCAAATTTATGACATCTGAAACAAGGTCCTATTCTCATATTCCCCATTTTTTTCCTTAGATTTAGTTTTATTTTCAACTCTATCTTTCCCTGCATTTGAACTAATAGTATTAAACACGCTTACCTTGCTGTGTTCTAAATCGGCATTTACCTGCCAAAGTTAGCTTTCTTCTATTACCAGTTCTTCAGCAATTCTTTCCAGCATAAAATCTTCGTCCTTCCACCTATAGATCAACTGTACAATGCCGGAGTATTCCTGGGGTAATCTCCTTATTGCCTGAAATTCTTTAAAAAGATCTGCCAAGTTGTGACCAGCTTCAGCCAACTTCTTTGCAGTCATTCTTATCCTCGCGATGAATAATCCTATTTCTTCATTTGGCGTATATCTAATACTAAAAAATTCATCCAGTAACTGAATTATCCTTGCTCTTGTTTTGGGTTCGAATTGCTTCTGTAGAACTTCCCATGCTTCTTTACCACTTGAATATTCTTGTATCAGCGGCCTGAACTCAGTTTTAATTCCATAATTTAATGTAGTGAAGGCTTAATTCTCTCTCAGTGTGAATTCCTGCTTTTCACGTTTTGTGGCACTTTTATCTAATTCTTCTTCTTTGTCTTCTATGAAGCTCCAACAATTTCTATCCAGTAACAGCATTTTCATATCGACTTTCCATCGATCCCAGTTGTCATGGTAACAGCTCAAAACCTTCAGGTAGTAATGACATCTTAAATTAAGTGTGAGCACAACAACTTGAACAAACTTCTAAGACCGGTCAACTTCTTTTCATGGATAACGGACCTCTTCACCTACATTCCTTCAATGCTGAGTTGAACTGCATGACCGATTAGCTGTTGGCGCTGGGCCCATAACCCTGATGGCAGTGGCGGTAAAGGCAAAGCATATTTTGCTTCCCTTCAATAAAGCTAAGACTAATCTAAATAAAATCCATGCTTTATTCTGTAAATTAAAATAAAAGATGCTAAAACTGTAGCCTTTACATTTAAAACCATTTGAGCGAAAGAAAACTAGCATAATGCTAACTCATAATACCAAAACATTCGCCGATACGGGCGTACATATATATATATAATACTCGGCCGATCTTGACGTAATCAGTCAATCAGTAGCAACCATGTTAGCCTATCGCCGATTTACCTCCGATAAAAATTTGCATAAGGGAAACCTAAAGCCAACAATAAGAACAGAAACTTTATTCTCAACTTCAAACTCTAATATCTAAACAAAAAGCAAACTATGTAACAATGACCCAATCAAAAAGCCACGATGACTGTTATGATGGAAATATTACTACTCAGCATAGCTAAATCGTATTGTTTGAAACCATATGACTCAAACGGCTTCTTCTCATAGCCAAACAGTGTACAGGGTGTCTCAAAAGACCATTGCCAAACTTAACATGCGGGTATGTCATGCTATGGCAAACAAGATTTACATAGGCACTTGTGTCCGAAAATCAGAACAGCGACTGCTAGTAGGCAATGTTCGCAGGCAAAAGAGGGGAAGAAAGAAAGCATGTCAAAAGAGGGGAAGAAAGAAAGCATGTCAAAAGAGGGGAAGAAAGAAAGCATGTCAAAAGAGGTGTTAATATGACTTTTATTAAAGAACATGGTTACATTACAGAAGGTGTTAAAATTTCTTCCATTCACCCCTATGCATTTAAACCATTGACGCATGAATTGATACATCCGTTCAAAATGGGTTGGTGTGTCATGGACACGTGCTGCCGCTTCTACGATTCTGGCGACAAGATCCATATCAGATGTTGCGGTCGTCTCATACACCACAGACTTCATATATCTTCACAGGTAAAAATTCAGAGAAGTCAGGTGGGGGATCACGGTGGCCATGTGACAGGTCCACCTCTGCCAATTCAGCAATTAGGATATGTTTGTTGTAGTACTTCTGCACAGGTGTTGCTAAAATGTGCAAGTGCTCCATCATGCTGAAATCAGATGTTTCGCCATATAGCTGCTGGAACATCAGCTATCAGGTCCTACAATACTTTTCCTAAAAAAGTACGATAGGCTTTCCGCGTCGGGGAATCGAGGTAGTAGGTGAGGGCCAATTAAGATGTCACTGATAATACTAGCCCAAACATTTATGGTGCGATATTGTTGACTTCTGTTGCCAGGTGTACACCTTGGGTTTTCATGCATCCACACATGCATGTTGTTGGTTTAGAACACCATCCCCTATAAAAGAGGCTCTATTCGAAAACAAAATCAATAATGGATAATCCGGGTTAAATTAAACTTTTTTTTTTTTAAATTTAAATTTAAAAAAAAAGTTTAATTTAATTTTTGACTTCACTTGCTTGTTTCTCAAAAGACTTCATTAGTATTTTCCTTTTAGAACTTTATTCTTAAACTTAATTCTTAAATGTTAATTTCTAAGGGTACCACTTTATTGGTATTACTTTTGGTTTTGACTTTTACCCTTGCCTGCATGAATGACGAAACACGAATTGAATGATTGGAGAGTTAGGTTTGGAGGCAACTTTCCCTTGATAAGTCTGTCTCCTGCCTACTCAACGGTCATTCACTTATGCATTTTTAAAAAAATTATTTAGTTTAATTTTAATTTGCTAAATTAGTGAATTTATTTTCATGGATTGATTTTGCACTTGATTTGCTTATGCTTCTGAATTTAAATGATATTGTAGATTAGTTCGAGAATTAAATCTTTTATATGTTTGAACATTTTTTTAAAAATTATTTTAGCTTTTTTTTAGGATTTAAATTTGCTTTTTTTACTTTTATACGTGTTTGTTAAAAATTAAATTTAAATTTGTTTAAATTAAAATTTTATTCCTTGCAGCAATGGCGCAAAGAATATTTAATTAACTTTGTATTTAAATTTAATTTTTTAAATTAAATTCAATTTATTCTTATGAAACAATGATCTGAAATAGTTATTTACTCTTACGCTTCAATTCAGTTGTGTTTAGCCTTTTTTATATGAATAATAATAAAAAAACATTATGTGAAATTAACCTTTCATATAAATTAAAACAATAATCTTTAGATAGTTATTTACTATTATACTTCCTTTCTTGCATTAGGGTTGCCGCAATTATTTTTGGCAGCACTGGCATCAACAACAGTTTGGCGATTTTTTTCGGTTCTCAAAACGGAATAGTACCAAAAACTGTTAAAAGAAGCATGTTTTTAATGAATTGTAATGAAGCAGCAACCCCACTCAACAGACACAGTCATGAACAAAAGAGCTCTTGGAGCTATTTAAATGGCAGATACTGTAATAATAAGAAAGCGTCATTTTAAATATACATTACATTTGATTTACTTAATTAATGAACCATTTTTTTAACTCCTAAAAAGACCAAAATCATTTGGATTCCCATGAATGCTTATCATAGGAAAGGTTCACTCTTAAGTTCCATAAGAGAAGATTGTACATGTCAGAAAAGACACAATGGGCAAATACTCAGATGATGAAACATAGAACATACAACAGTACAGGGATTCCCAACCTTTTTCTTATATCAACTGCTTTAAAAGATATGGGTTTGTTCAACCCCCTCACATTCCTTGTTATAAAATACAGAATATAACAGTAACGTAATACAATGAATTACACATATTAAAGATAACAGTTTGATGAAGAATCTATTCATGCTTTATTATTTGCAATAAATATTTTTAATTTTACAAATATAAACAATTTCATTTACTCTAATTGTAAACAATTTAACTTTTAGCTAACATGATGGCTGTGCTCAATGTATGAATTCAATATTTTTAATATTTAGCATAAAATCACTTAAACGTTAGATCACATTGTCTAAAAATTTTCATCCCGTTTCTTGATTTTTAGTCCAGTTTTGCATATTTAATATTTTTTATTGTAGTCTTCCAATTTACTTTTTTACATTCCAGTCATTGCTGGAAAAATTTATACATTAAAAATATATACTACTGATTTAAAAAATACATTAAATAATTTTAGTGCATTTTTCGCTTATATTACTTTCATGATCACAAGGTTTAATACTGACCCTTTTGGGAACCCCTGTAATAGATGGTTAATTATAGGTTTTTATTTGCCAAAAAATATTCCTAAATTTAAGAGTAAAATGGTATCTGGAATATCATATGTTAATATAATATGGTGCAAAATCTTTCCCCCAAAACCTCTTAATTCATGTAATACATTGTCTAATAATTACTCACCAGAACATTCTTGAGCTTCTAATGATTGTGATCTGAATTCATCCTCCATTTCATCCATAAGAGCCAATTCTTCTTCAAAGTTACTTCTTTCAAATTCTTCATCATTTGAGTTTTTCTTTTGGACTTTTCTAGGATGATCCTGGCTTCCAAACATTGCTTTCCTCTTGGAATCCATATTTAATATGAATTACCTATTGAGATAAAAAATTCATTGTATTTAATCTGTCCTCATTATGAAATAAAAAAATAGACATTAAGAAAAAAATCCTGGTGACCATCTCTGAAAGATACCAATTATACTCAAAGGGGCATTTATTTATTAAATATCATGTTTTCCATACAAACGATAAAATTCAATTTAACAGCAATATCATGAAATAATTTAAAAAGAGCATACCTTTAGATTTCTAATACACAGTCTCATACACTGGAGATAAAAATGTTTTACCCCCTATACAGTGTTGCCATTGCTCGCTTTGAAATTATTCAGTTTATTAATCAAAAATTTGTTAAAGCTTTACAAAATAAGAAGTAGATAATAAAACAAATTCCAAATCTGGGCTTCCAGATGCCCATATTCGAGTGGAGGACATCATTAAAAATTTGATATCTAGGTACAATTGTTTTTTCACAATGCGAGAAACACGCATACATTCATGCAGATTTTTCATTATTTAGTTTCTTTAAATATAATGCAGGGTTCTAATATTTGGTGGCAACAATTTAAAAAGTAAAATGCTATTTATAGTGAAACAACACAAAATTACCCCTTTGGGCTAGTAACTAAAAACATTAGATCGCATGTTATTATCGTTACCTAAATTCCTCCCCTTTCATTACATTTATTACTACTATTTTTACCCCAAAGAGTCTATTAGTCTCGAGACACGATGTTGCAATGTTTCACTTTTCAATTCGATTTTGTTACCATTCAGAAAAAGGTAAGATATTGTTTTTTCATATTTAATCTGTCTGTTATTAATTAAAAAATTAAACAATTTAAAAGCAATAGATGCATGTCTTAAGAATATTACTTTTTAATTATTAATCTGATTGATTTAAATAAAAATGCATTTAACTCATAATATGTCTCATTAAAAATTTTAAATGTTTTTATGGAATTACATTACAAATTTGTTCGCTTTTATATATTCAGAAGATACATAATGTTCCTTTTGTCTAATTGCATATTGATCTAATATAAAGTGATCATAAGTCCCCGATTTTGGCAAAACAGTCCCGCTTTTTGGAGGACTGTCCCGCCAATTTTTAAAAATGTCCCACATTTTAGAAAACATCTGCATTTCTTATTTTAAATGTAATGTAAAAATATATTACCTATTATTTATAAATTATTATAGTGAATATAAAGAAATAAAAAAAACACATAAAATGCATGCAGTGTAAACTAAATTAGGCGATATAACGAGTTAGACTTAATCAGGGCTGTGGAGTTGGTAGGAAAAATGACTAACTTCGACTCCTGGAATTTTAATGACTCCCTCATATATATATATGTAAATTATTTATTTACTAAAGAAATATTGATTAGAAAAACTTGATATTGAACTAAGTAAATTTAAGATCATACAATATATATATGTAAACATATGCACATGGGTTACAGCTTATTTTTTTAATATAAAAGAAGAAATAGATGCCACAGAAAAAAATTGATGGCACAGCAAATTACTCATATTAATTAGCATTTATTATGAAAAGGAAAAACTGGCATTAGTTATTTCTGAGAAACAGTATAGCTTCGGGAAGATTTTCTTTGTTGGAGGGCCATTGATCTGACTTGATAAACTTCAGAGCTGAGAAGAGTCTTTCCACACTAACTTGAGTAGGAGGAAGAGATATTACTGTTAAGGCTACTTCTTTTATCTCTTCAGGATAGATTTTTTTAAGTTCTAAAAGACGTGTCTTGCAAGTACAATCATATTTCTCTATTTCTTCAAAGGGCGTGTAGAAATCTTGTTTGTGTTTTTTCATTTTTATATATAAAAGCTTTTGTTTTTTATTTTCATTCGCTTTGCCTTAGCCTTTTCAATATTATCCAAAAATATTTCTCAAAATTTAATTCATCAATGGAAAAGGATGATAGGGACTCAATTGCAATGTCTGCAGTTTGAGTGTCCTGATTCGAATTCTCCAATTGTTCTGAGAATAATTTCATTCTTAATGAAAGTTCATAGATGGCTTTCTTTGCCTTTTTAATTTGTTTGTCATCCAAGAAAATTTGGTGTTTCGGATCTACATATATTGAACCCAGCAAGATCTCACTGTCTAGCAAACTAGTTTCTCTTTTCTTCATTGAAGAATTTTTTTTTTTTTTTTTTTTCAATAAACCCTCCATTTCAGAAAGAACAAACATCTCATTCTCACTTCCTGTCAATCCCTGTGAGATTTGTAATTAAATGAATCAGTTTAGTCACTAATGGCAAATATTACATCCATCCTCCTCCCTTATATTTATTTATTAATAGATCAATAAAATAGAAAATAACTATCTATTAATGTATACAGTTCATAAATAAAAATAATAACTCAGCTTGTCATTAATTTTTTTCAATTCATTTTAATTTCATTTCAAATTCAAACAGTCCAACGAAAACTGGAGTCGACCTATTTTTAGCGACTCCAGCTCGAACTCCTTTTACACTAAAATCTACCTGACTCCGATTCTGTGTGTGTGTGTATTTAATTATGGCAAAGCACACTAGGGCTATCTGCCTAAGAGGAGGGATGCCTTCGTGGAGGACTTTCTAAGGGAAACTGGCTCGTATATACGTTACACATGGGGAAAACCACGAAAATGCCCATGCAGCCAGCCCGTTCGCGGGATTCGAACCTCAGACCGAACTACCGGTGTTCAGCGACTTTACCGCTCGGCCGCTGGTGGGCCCTGACTCCACAGCCCTGGATTTACTCGGCGGCGTTTGATCATAGTTGTTACATCTCATCAAGAAATATGTATTGTTAACGGAGGAACAGCTAGCATTAGCTGAAGGGCTATTTGCTTTCCACACTATAAACCACAATTAAAGTTTCAGACCAATTGATTGCACGTCGCAAATGATCAAAACATTGTATGACAAAAAATTTGCACGTGCAAGGACAAAAACCGAAGCAATTATTTGTAATGTTTTTTCACCATATTTGTTTTCACACTTGTAGAGAGAATTAGATAAATGAACATTTATATCCATACATTATGATGCTTCCAACCACAAAGCTTTAAAATTATTTCCCACAATTGTTAGAATTTTTTATACAGAAACAGGAATTAAAATTAGAATATTAGATTTTGTTTCATTGTCGGGTGAAACTTTTTTTTTTCCAATGGCAGATTTTGAACAGTTACAGTTTTGTAACAGAGTCCATTAATCTATACTAAGGCCAGATGTGGTGGTCTCTTTATTATGGAGACACCGAATAGATAGGCCACCACTGCCTCCTATGAAGGGACTGACAGTTACAACTGTGCCTTCTCCGGGATTCGAACCTAGGCCCCTCGGTATCGCAGTCAGGCTTCCCTAACCATTATTCCATCTGGGCAGTTGCCAGGTGAAACTTCACAAATAATTTTTGATTCAATAAATACTATTTTAAAAAACAATAATTTGAACAATAAAATTATTAGCTATTGTGAGGCAATAATTTTATTATTGACACTAACACAAATTTTGATGGAAAAGCTAGTAGAGGCATCTATAACATTTTTACGAAACTTAACGAACGTTTGAACCAAAATATTATTCAAGTAGGTTGTGCAGCACACATTCTACACAATACTATGCAAACAGCATCTGACTTATTTCCAGTGGATGTTGAAAATATTATTGCAAAAATGTATTCGTATTTTTATATATATACTGTGCATGTCGAAAGTTTACAGGATTTTTTTGAAAGCGCAGAAATTGAATAGAAAAGAATTATTGGTTACAGTAAAACACGATGGCTAGCTCTTTTACTAGCTGTAGAAAATATTTTTTAAATATACAAACCATTAAAATCACATTTTTTATCACAAGATAAACGTCCAAGAATATTGCAGCTGTTTTTTGAAAATGATACATCACAAATTTGTCTTCAGTTCATCCACAACCAAGCTACATTATTTCACAATGCTGTGAAAATTATTAAAGGGGACAAAATTTCAATTATGGAAGTGTCAAATTAAATCAATAATTTAAATACAAAATTACAAGAAAGAATTATAATGATTATGTTTCTTTAGTTATTTGAAAGGACATCACTAGGTTGGAAGAACAAGGTGCCATATTAAACGACCTGATTTTCTGAAAGAAGTCAGAAATTTTTATAACTGCTTGGAATATCTTGAAGAATTCAATTTGAGGATATTAAAAACTTTCATTGGGTGACATTAAAAAAGGAGATTTTTACGGGAATATATGGAAATTTTTTTAATATATTAGTAACCATTTTCCGAAAAGTAATATTTGCGAAAACGATCTTTTTGATAAGGTGTTATTGGTAAAAAGATATGTTACTGATAAAAAAATTAAATGTTGGTTGTCTGCAAATGTGGAAACAGACAAAAAATGAATGGAGCTATTCCTTCATTTTAAACAGAATAATGTTCCTCATGAAAATATTTTGAAAATCGTAGAACACATGCTCTCCCTTCCAGGAACAAATGCAGCAGCAGAACATGTTTTTTCTAGTATCAATAAAATATGGACAATTGAAAAAAAACACAGTTCATTAAAACTTTAAAATCTATATTAAGCCTAAAATATAATTTGAGCAATTCATGAGAGAAATTTCACGACATTTAAGTAAATGATCCGAATCTATTGCAAAGTATTCACTCGGATAAGAAAAATATAACCGTGAAAGAAAATCATAATTTTTTAAAAAATAAAATATTAAATTAATTAAAAAACATAATATTCAAATTATTGTTTTTTTTTACAAATATTTTTATCGTTACCAACAGTTAATAATAAATATATTTTTGTATATTTATAGACAAGTATATGAATGTATATAACAAAACATATTTTTTGAATTATTGGTCTGCTTTCATAACTACATTATAATTCTCATTTCATTCCATATGCCCCGCTTTGTCTCAATGAAAATGTGGTCACTTTAATCTAATATTCTATAAAATGTTTCTATTCTATCTGGGCCATGTCTGTTTATCATCCCCACTGATGAA